TTCCTAACTGAGCTTGGACCTTTTGGTTCTGGTTGCAATCAACAAAGCAACAGCGGTCTATAAGAACATTTTTATTCATTTTTATCTTTTGAACCTATATACAAACTAATGAACTTTCAGTGGTCCCAAAGAAATTTATTATTTTAATTTAGTTTTCCTTATTTTCTCTCCTGCTGTTCCTTCTTCTTCCTACGTTCCCCATTTTCTCGCTAATTTTATTTTTCTTCCACTCCTTCTCTCTCTCTCTCTCCTCGCACGGCTGCTCAGGTGCGGCGCGCCCACACCCCTTACCCCACTTTGGGTAGCGCTCAGTCGATCGTGAGGCTCGCTAGTGGTTGGGGGTCGACGACGAGGTCCTCGCGGTTAGGTACGTATTCTCTTTTTTCCCCTCAATTTCTCAAGAAATAAAAGATCAATTTCTTAAAATCAAAGAAAAACAAGGAGGAGAATGATTTATACCTTAGATTGATTTGAATTTAGGATAATATTCCACTTTTCCCTTTTCTTTCATTGTCTTCTTCTTCTTTCTCTTCTTCTTCTCTCTCTCTTTTTTAACCCTAATTTCTGTTAGGTCTCATGTTTATGAGCCTACGGTCTAATCTTGTTTTGATGATTTATAAACAATCCCTAACATCGTTTGTCTAGTGTTTGTATTTTTTATTAGGTATTCTAGACAAACATCGACGTTGGAGGTTGGTTGGATTGTACCTACACGATCATATCCATTCGAGGTTAGAAGGAAAATAGGAATGAAGTCGTCGCTATTCAAGTCAAATACGAGTTCGTGCTTCATACCTTTTGTCAAGATGGAGGATTGTCCAAGATGGAGCTTAGCGAATATTTTCATCTTGGGTACATTACTTTAGGTGTTTATATTATGTGTGTTAATACTTAGAGCTCAATATTATACACACACACATAGTTTTCGTTTTATTGCTTTCAAGTTTAGCCACATGAATATGGAACAAGTGGATATAATCATATACACACATACTTGTTTCATGTTTATACATGCTTGAAATGATTTTATTAAAATCAAGCTTTAACATATTCAAATCGATGAAATCATGTCTTTCGTTTTCATACTTTTGTAAGTTTGCAAAATAATGTATCTATGGATTAAAGACTTGATTATACTATTTTACATCTTTTATAAAATCTATTAATCTACTTAAGAGAAGTTTCAAACCTGTTTGAAAACATTGTGTCAAAATCATGTGTTGTTGAAACTGTGTTTTGGACTATTTTGCAAAATAAAGAGTTTTCACAAATAAAAAATACAATTTAAAAAATTCTTTTTATAACATGTTCATTTTTATGTTTATAAACATTTTCCCAAGTTTTACATTTTTTTAGAATTTATTTGATATTTTTAAAGAAGTTTCAAAGTTGATATTTACTGTTCATTTCAGGCCCGGTGAACGTTTTAAGTCGACTTACTACAGTACCAAGTCGACTTATAAAGTGTTGAGCAGATGGTGTTTTTAATCTGCTAAGTCGATTCATAATATAACAAGTCGACTTATACTATATAAGTCGACTCATACCTGTCATAAGTCGACTTACAATAGAGCCGTTACACAGTAACTAGTTTCCAGATTCTTGTTGTTTTGTGGTTTTTGTTGATTTTTGCTGGTTTCTTGAGCTTAGTTTTTCCACCCTATATATACCCCTTTACCATAAACATTCTAACTAACTTAAGAAAGTTTTAAAACAAGTTTTACAAGGGTTTTAGTTTGTTTAAGTGTGTTTTTACAAGAATTTATGTGAAGAAGTTTTCACAATAATTTATGTGAAGAAGTTTTCACAAGAGAAAGAGATCATTAGTTTTCACAAGAGAAAGAGATCATTCATTTCGTGTTTGGGCTTCAATTTCAATCTCTCTTACTCTTGTTTTACAGAGAAGTTTTCTCTAAACTCAATTTCTAGCTTCATATATTTATTTGTTGATTATTCATTTTATTAAACTAGATTTTATATTGAGTTTAGTTTTCATTATTGCTCATTGTTCACACACAACTCACTTGAGCTTTTAGTATTCTCACAAATTGTATAATAGAGTTGTGAGGTTGTGGCATTGAGTGTGAGCTTAATTGAGTTCTCATCTTGTTAGAGAACAAACTATTTGTATTTGTGCTTAATTTGTGAAATACACATTGTAATACACAAGGACACCGAGAGAAGTGTGTGGTGAGAGACGGGATTGATTCTAAGAGGAGTGACGTCGGTAGTAAAGCCTAGAGAGAGGTGGTAAATCCGAGCACTTGAGGAAGGCGGCACGGGCTAGGCCAACACTTAGAGCGTGTATTGTGTAGTTACAAGTGTGAAAGTTGTAAGAGTGTTCGGTAAGCTAGAAAACCAATTGTGTAGAGTTGTAAACGTTTTCGGTTAGTGTTGAAAAACCGATTGAGATAGTGGAGATCTCCTCGAGGTGAGGAGTGGAGACGTAGATCAAGAGTTGACCGAACTCCGTGAACATATCATTATGTTTGTGCTTGTCTTTGCGCACTATCTCATTTTCATTGTGTTCATCGCCCTTGTTTAATTACATATCCTTGCATATAATTTGTTAAATATCATACTTGCTAGGATATTGTTAATAAGTTTTAAATCCGCATCAATATCGGATTAGATTAGCATACACCCTATTCACCCCCTCTAGGTTAATTTCAATTTCTTTCCCTTTCCTCCCTTTTATCCTACTGTGAGGCGGTGAGAAACACCGACATGGAGAGGCGGTGACAAACAGTGAAATGCGTTTTTTAATATGTTTATTTGGGGCTATTACAGTAACTGCTCTTTAGGATAACACACCTTGTTCATAGTTTGACAGGATCTTGACATTATTTAAAAGAGGTTCAATTTCAGGTTGATATTCATAGCTAAACTAAAAACCTATTGCAACTACCATATTTCAGCACTCTCAAGAAGTAATACAATAACATATGTGTCGTAGAGACGTCGAATATGAGCTGTATATAAACCAGACAAATGTTGTACATCAGACCTCTTAAACACTCATAAATACTTCTCCCACGTTTCCCAAATTTTATAACATATAGTACATGACACTCGCTGGGCACCCTTCACAGACTTAAACAAATTTCCTAAATTTCCTATGCTTCTTACACGTTGTTCATCCATAGGGAAACAACGAAGAAACTACAACACAAAAAAAAGAGAAAAAAGTTCACAAAAGTATCAGGAGCAAATGGGTTTGTAGCCCACTACAAATTGGATGATGTGTCTCCCTACTATATATGTAGTGTTATGTGTCTGATGGTACATGCATGGATACTTCCTAATGAGATTTGAGTTGATCAGGCAAAAGGAGGAGAGAAGGAGAGAGGGGAGGAGAGCAAACATGGAGAAAGATGGAAATAAATTGTTAAAAAATATTCTCTAATTAACTAATCATACAAAATACATCAAAAAAGCAAAAAAGCTAATCATACAAAGTGAGAACAAGAAAGGAAAAAATGAGCAATAATACATTAAAGCAAGTAACATTCACATATCACTTCAATGATATAAACTGTCGAAGTGTCAACTAGTTTCCACCTAGATCATATTCATAATCAACTAAAGATTATCGACTAGTTATTACCACAGTAAATATTAGATGACTTACCTACAAAAAAAAGAGTGACATTATTACTCTTTAAACTTGAACTGCGAACCATATATATCAAAAGAAAGTCATATTAGAATAAATATAAATTCTAACATATGCAATTTACTAAGATCATGAAATATCATTAAACTAATCTGTTTTTCTCTTGTGGCTATATGTTACTTTGTCCGCAAACAGAAGAAAGCCACATTTCATCCTTGTATCCAATTTTTCATAAATTCTCAAATCTCTCACTCATATTCCTGTTGCCAAAAGAACTCCCTAGCCACTCTCATCCCCAAGAGACAATAATCATACGTCCTTTTATATATCCTTACTTAAAATATAGTCCTATTAGCCCATTTACTAATAGTCTGTTGTACACAAAAGCTTCTTCCAGAGTTTAAACTTGATCAGGAAGGTCAAGTGGAACTTATATTCCTTGTGATTCCAGTTCGAAGACCACCAGTTCCCTCTCGTGTGATGCTTGCATGGTGCATTCTTTGCATTTGTGATTTATAGGCACAGACATTACATAACAATTTTCTAAATTCCATAAATAGGTAAATAAGAATGTCTATTTATATTTTAAATATATATAAGTCATCTAAATACATGAATTAGTTTGTCACTTGTATGTAAAGGAAGCATGTTGTATTTGACATTATACATATCCCTGAGGTGAATAACTGTTACAGATTTGTACATGAGATGCACAAATTTCCACATTTGGATATGCTTTTTTGTATGCGAGAAGTCCCTTTACATATCATATGTTTGTACTGCATAACAGTTCATTCAAATATTGCCCCTTTGGATCTCATAGTTCTGCAATATATCTTTGCTAAAACTAAACTAGCTCGAAGAATTAGGAAATCTAGGAAGATTAGGCTATCACTACTCCCTACAACTTTTAAGGGATTTCATGAAGTATAAAGCAGAAAGAAAAGCTTGCAACAGTTGCATCTTACAAGCTTAGGGGCATTAGCCATTTCAGGTGAAAGAATGAACTTTTCTTCTCCTAGCTTCCCTGCGGGCTCCTAAGATGACCGTGCAAAGCTTGCAACAAGTTCCGTGTTATGATGGGCAGAATACTGAGAGTATGTTTAGTACTGGTCTTTTGGCGCACGAAATTAAAATTTGCGCAGTGCTAACCTTCCACCAAACTGACAGGCGTTATTAGTTTATTTTATTTTGTTTAATTTGCATACTCTTTCTGCATTCTGTGAGATAAACGTTTACTGTCTAGTTTTAAATGAGATTACTGTACTCTATATTTGTTCAAAATGATTTGTTCTTTAGTTTGAGAATAATATTTACCTTTTGTCCAAAAAGGAAGAAATGGCATGAGTTAAGACAAATTTGTCCAGAAGGAAATGTAAAGTACCTGGCAAAAGTTGAAATCATCAGCTGACTGCATCTAGGAGTAATCTTAACCCCTAAACTGAGTTATTATTTTGCCTTATCTCCAATCGCAGCCCTGGAGCTTCTTTTATGTTGCCCTTCCACGCTTCACAGGCACCAATCTACCCTTCCTGAAGTCATTCCTTGCCTGCAGGATAAGCTGTTAAAACACAGATATTACTCGATTAAGCATTAGCCTTTTAGCCTATGAGAACTGAGGATATATATGGTAAAAATGGGTATCAATTAGTAGCTCATTTCACTAAATGAGCTGCTAAGAAATAGACGAGCATGAGAGCCATCCTGATAGTCATACGATAACGTGTGGATCTAACGACTTTTATCTCTATCTCTTGATAGCTCATATCTAGTATCCTGGAATATACACACAAATGTATCCTGGAATATACACACAAATGTACACATACTTTCTACTTTAAAAACTAAGGAAGATGATATACTAGGTTAAGAACTAATTATCCTTTCCTGAGATAAGATAAATATGCATCAAGATCACATCAACCTGCCCTTGTTTACATAGTTACAAAATACTTCTCAAGATGCCACTTTGATTGAAATCAGTGAATTCAAATGCTTGTGTGCACAGATGAAGCGTTCATTTCTTGTTTTTTCTTAGTCCAACTAGAAACTATAACATGAAAGGCTTCTGGGCGCATTTCGGATAATGAAAATGAGATGAGATCTCATTCTTCTAATTGACGTGATATGATCAAATAGACTAAATAAATAAATAAAATAAACATTTCCAGTTTTAAAACATCTAACAACAATTTCCTTAAGGACAAGATGCTAGCTCGACCCCTCAAAGTCCCATGAGCTTCAACAAAAGGGACAACATCGAACATTTCCAGATTGATTCTCTCGTATATGCCTTCGTATCAATCAATTTATGCACTAATTTTCTTGATTCCATAGCATATGCTACATTAGCATTCATATTTTAATTATAATCATACATTATCTACAAAACTAAAGTAATGAGATAATGCATAAAAAAAGAGGACGGATTCTTCCTTACCTGAACAACTGAAGTCGAGGAGAGACCTTTAATAAACCCTAAACTCCTTCAATCTCGGGGATCTTGAGGAGGAGCTGATTTGGCTAAGGATTGGGGTTAGGTTTTTTAGGGTTGTTGAGATGATTAGGGTTTTTATTTGGGGGATCCCCATTCTTTTTGGGGCAAACTAGAAGACTGGCAACCTAAAAAATCCAAAGCAAAACCTGCAAGAAGAGAGGAAAACTAAATTCCTATATTCCGATGTGCTAATTTCTCCGTTTTTTTAATTATATTTATCCTCACGGTTGTTTGGCGAAGGGTTAACGAGAGAGATTAAGGAGAATAATATAGTAAGTTCATTCGATAATCCGAATGACTAAATTATTAATCTATTATATAAGTTTTATTTTTTTACCTCTTATGATCATTTTTAGAGTTTGTAAATAACAATGATTTTGATTATTTTTTTATAATTAGAGGGCTCGTTTGGCAAAGGGTTAATGAAGAGGGAATTAAGGAGAATGATTAACATAGTTAGCCCATTCGATAATCCGAAGGACTAAATTATTAACTCGTTATATAAGTTATTTTAGTCATTGTGATCAGTTTTAGTATTTAGGAATAACAATGATTTTGACTATTTTCTTTATAATTAGAAAGGTTAACGTTTAATCCTTCTAAATAGGAGTATTAGTAAACCCCTTATTTTGAGGGGTTAACTCATTTTAATCCCTTTAGAGGAGTTAGTTTAACTCTTCTATATTTTTTATGTTTGAAAAATTATGAAGGGTTAACTCACTTTAACCATTGTATAGATTTTTTGTGTTTGGCAGGTTAAGAAGGGGTTAAGTCTCCCTTAACCCTTTGCCAAACGTTACCAGAGGGATTAGCTCTTAATCTTTTTAAATAGGAGTATTAGTAAACCCCTTATTTTGAGGGGTTAACTCATTTTAATCCCTCTAGAGGTGTTAGCTTAACATTCCTATATATTTTGTGTTTAGCAAATTATAGAGGGTTAACTCACTTTAACTCTTATATAGATTTTTTGTGTTTGGCGGGTTAAGAAGGGATTAAGTATCTTTAACCTCTCACTTAACTCTTTGCCAAACGACACCTTCTAGAATATGAGGGAAAAAAATAATTAAGGCACGAAGAAAATGAAAAAGAAAAAAAGTGAACACATAAATGATGATTTATGACTTGAGGAGTCGTGAAACTCCAACAAGATGTATAATGAAGACTTGTGATCCGCGCATGATTCATTGTGAAAGGATTCTGCTTGAAAATGAGTTACATAAGCCAAATTTATAGGGAAAATTGTTTGGAGCAAGCAATTTCTAAAAAGTCATGCACCCCACTCTCAACTAGAGTCAACCCCTTGAAAGCTTTTTGACCTATGCTAAAACACCCCTAGCCTAACATTGTATATGTACTTTATACTATATTTTTAAGTATTGTCCACTTTACCTTTTTGTACCCTTTTTGTGGAGTGTCTAATTATTTTGTCTTATTGGGCAACTCTCATTCCCTTATACAGTGGGAAGTGATATCCAATTGGGTTCAAGAGAATTGGGGAGAATGACATTAATGGCTGGAAGAGTTTTTTTGGAGGGAAAGAAAAAAATTAAAATATACTAAGTTCCCTCCAAATAATGCCCCATCTCAATATAATATCTTCTTCCCTCTTTAGATTCTACTCATAAGACCTTCAACAACCAAAATATTCTTAACTTTTTCCTCTTAACTTCTTCAACAACCAAAATAGAAGAATCTTTAATGTGTGTGATTTCGTTTAACACAAATGCAACTCTCATTAAAGTCAATTCTGCAACAAGTTTAGTTGAATTGAATATGCAAGCTGCAAAGAATTTAAGAGTACCGTACGAAAGTTTGTTGATAAGTTACTCTCTTAAGAAGTTTCTCATGTCTCGTTTGAGCTTTAAAAAGATGAAGATATTCTCAACATGATATATTATCATGGTTCAATAGGGTTAAATACGATAACCACGACTATTACTAAAAGAGATGAATGATCCACATATGCCATAGGGACAGAAAAAGAGCTTGAGTAAGTATTCATAAGATTATTTTCAGGTTTTGTATACACGTTATAATGGAAACTGTGATATTTATGTCTTATATGTGATCTGAAGACATTTCACGTGACATATCGACTTTATTTGTGACATATACTAATTAACAATTATTTGTAATTATCACACGTGACTTATACGTATGTTATATTCAACTTACAGTCTTCCTAATGTAAGCTCACAGTCATTGGAGCATATCGAGGAACCTTATGAGAGGATCCCAATCGTGGAATCAGAGAGGATCCCAAATGACAATCCTCAAGGAGAGTATGTGTGGATGATGAACGACATAGTAAGTGACTCGTCATTGATGCCAACATGGTGGCACGAGGCAATTACTGGAAAATGACAGCAATTTGAAAGCGCAAAAGAACTTAGAATGACTCTTATATAGTACTCTATATCGGCCTTAATGGTCATTGTATCAACACCGCGAGCAACAAGTTTTGCTCATAGGCTTCGTTCAACATTGACAGCTTGTCATAAGCTTCAGTCTATATTAACAATTAAGTTTCAGTGAGCAAATGTCACATATAAGAAGGACACACATAAAGTTTACATAAACACTACATCTATCATAATAAACTGCCAAATATCATAGGGAATAACCAATTTGCACAGATAACAATGTATCACAATCTACATGTAAATATCACAGAAAATAGATAAAAGTTACAGAGTAACACTTATTATCACAGCCAGGATATAACAGTCACAAGCAATAAATAATAATCACATAAAAGACTATTACCACAGTCAAAATGTAAACAATAATCACATAAGAATTAAACTTATCTCACCAATGCAACAGTCGATTGACTTCTTTCCTCTTTTTTAACTCTTTTCTTTTTTAAAGAGTTTTCGGAGTCAACTTTCTCCTCTCTTTTTACCTTCATCTTTCTAGGCTATTGCTTGATCTCCTCATGGACATACCACGACATATCTTGCTCCAGTAAGATATGGATTACGACTTCTGATTTCTTCATAATCGTTGCAGTCTGTAACGAACCCACTTTCTTACCTTCCAATGTCCAGTTTGTCATTGGTGGCTTGGAATCATTGACTCTGGCTGGCTCCTTGATGTTTGTTATCTCATAGTATCATAGCTTTAATAAATCAACATTCAATCAATGAAGTATCACAAGTTAGATACAAATGTCACATGTAAAAGACAGATGTCAGAAGTTAGATACAAATGTCACATGTTAACTACAAATATCATAATTAAACAATACATATCAAGGACAAATGTCACATATGGGGCACAAACATCACATATGAGTATCATATATCACATGTAAAAGACAATAATCACATATAAGGGGAAAAATATCACACATTAACTACAAATATCACAATTAAACAATGCATAGCAGGGACAAATATCACATATGGGGCACAAACGTCACTTATTAGTGTGATTTATCACATGTAAATGACAATGATCACAGATAAGGTGCAAATGCAGCATATTAATTACAAATAATACAGGTAACTCACCAATAACAAGGGAGCGTAGCCGCTAAGATATGTATGCCCCCCTTTTAGCTATATTGACAGCTTTGAAAGAGTCCCACAATTCATTGTAGATGGTCGTCGCCCATGGAAAATGTGTTGGCCTTTTTATTTTGATGATGTTTTAACAAACAATTTACAATTAATATTTTTTGTCTAATATTTGTGTTTTTATTTTTTTTTTTTCTAGATAAACAATTAGTTGGAGGATGAATGGACTAGAGCTTTAACGATCATATCCGATTGATGTTGGCGGAATAGTGGAGTGAAACAATGCAATTCAAGTCAAGATTCAAGTTCAAGCTTCATCCGTAAGTTTACCAAGAAGAGCTCATTGAAGATCAAGATTACTTGGGTAAATAGTTTAGGTTTTATATTATGTGTGTTTAATACTTCAAGCTCAATCACATACACACATACATATATATATATATATATATGTTTTGATTTTATAGTTTTCTAGTTTAAATATGAAACAAATGAATATAATTGGAAAAATACATATTTGTATCATGTTTATATGCTTATATATGATTTCATCAATATGAAGTTTATTTAGTTCAATAAAATCATGTTTATTGTTTGAAAGTTTGCAAAACATGCATTTTTGTAAAAATATTGAGTTATTGATTTATGGACTTAATAATCATTATATACATCTTTTATTAAGTCTATATAATCATTTTATAAAGTTTCAAAACATGGCTTAGTCAAAATATCAAATTTCAAGTATGTTCATTTTCATGTTTTAGACTAGTTTTGAGAAATGATGAGATTTTACTTTTGGGAAGTGCAATTCCAAAAATTCTTTTTGTAACATATTTATTATCATGTTTATAATTATTTTCCAAAGTTTTACATTTTTATGAATTTATTTGCTATTTTTAAAGGCACTTTAAAAATCAGTTTTACTATTCATATCAGGCTGATAACTTGTTATCAGTCGACTGATAGAGTTTATCAGTTGACTGATGAACTTGCCTGGAATTATCAAAAGTTTTTATTTTTTTTATTCAGTCGACTGATCAGTCGACTATTGAGGTCTTCAGTCGAATGACGAGGTCTTCAGTCAACTGATGAGCTGTGAGTTGCCTGTAACGATCAGCTCATCAGTCGATTGATCGAACCCGTTAGTCGACTGATGCTGTAACAGCTAGTTTTTTTCAGCTTTTGTCTGTTTTGGGTTTTTGATCTTTTTGTCTTATTTTCTCTTTCCTTTGGGGTTCCTATAAATACCCTCATATATCCTTAGTTTATTTGATCTAAGAGAAAAGTTTTAAAAGAGTTATACAAGTTTGTTTAAGAGTTTTTAAGTTTGTTTAAGAGTTTGTTTGTGAAGAAATTTTTACAAGAGCTTGAGGAGATCATCCATTAACGTTTGATCATTTAACTCTTCTCCCTCTCTATTGTCATCATAGAGAAGTTTTTCTAAACTCTTATCTAGATTTTTATATTGTTTGATTTTGTATTTCCATAAACTAGAATTTATTTGAGTTTAGATTTGTTTTGAGCTTATTGTGTTTGCATACATAGTATAATTTTGGGTTGTGGGTTTGTGACTTAGAATGTGAGCTTTCATTGTGTTCTCATCCATAGTAGAGAACAAACATTTATTGTATTGAGCTTTCATTGTGAGGATACACTTTGTAATACACTTGTACATCGAGAGGA